AACGATGACGATCTGCGAGCCTTCCTTGAGGCGACAGAGAGTCTCCTTGAGGGAGACGAGGACGGACTCGTTGACGTGAACGATGTCAGGATCCCAGTCCGAGTAGACCTGAGGAGAAGAAGTGAGGAGAGGAAGAGAAAGGGAAGGAGAGGAGAAGGAAGCGGTGAGGAGAACGGGAGGGAGAGAAGAGGAGAGTAGAGTGAGGGAAAAGAAAGAGGGAAGAGGCGAGGAGAGGAGGAGAGGAGGAGAGGAGGAGAGGAGAGGTGAATGAAGGGAGCGAGGCGAGGGGAGGAGGGGAAGAGGGGAGGAGAATCTCGTCTCTTACGGTTCGGTAATATGCATCATAGTTTGACGGCCAAAGCAGATCAGTTGCAAACTCCGTCCAAGTCTGCAACCGGTGGTCAATCTTTGCAAATGGATGTGACATTATGAGATGAGATGAGATGAGATGAGATGAGATGAGGTGAGATGAGGTGAGGTGAATGAGGTGCGATGAGATAAAATGATGTGAGATGAGAAGGACATGTTGCTTTTTCCAGATTCTCACAACCTGTGCGATCACTTCACTTGTGATTGCGATGGATTTAAGTTGACGCGCAGCGAGGTTGCCGATTACGTTCCTGCACAGAGGAGAATCAGTTGTATCAGAATCAGATGTATCAGATGTCACAAGTCCGAAGACAGGAGAGCGAGGAACGAGAGAAGGGGATGGGGGTAGGGAGGGAAGAGGGAAGAGACGGACAAGGGCAGGAGGGAGGAGAAGGGGAAGGGGATGGAGAGAGAAAAGGGAAACAGGAGATGCGAAGGGGAGGAGGAGGCGGGCGGAGAGTTGCCGGCAAGTCAGGCGTCCTACTTGAGTCGGTCTCTGGCAGTGAGAAGGAATTCGTCGAAGGTCGAGCATAGTCTTGCGTTCTCGCTCCCCTCCCTGCTCCGCAGGTACAGAGCTGGCACAAGTGCTGCTTCCTGCACGATGGTCCGAACGATCTCCACAATCTTCTTCATGCTCTCCTCGGCCCCCTCCCCTTCCCCCGCCACCTTCAACTTCTCCTGTTCATCCGCGTCTCCCCGATAGTCGGACGGGACGCCCGACGGGCTCTTTCCCTTCCCCTCCTCAACGTCCTCCTCCTCCTTGCCCTCCCTTTTGATCCCAACCGCATCCTCCCACCACCCGCTCGTCTGCAGGGCATCGAAGTAATCAGCCAGACACTTGTGTCGGAACTGGCGGGAGCTCGCATGCTTCGCCGCAGCCACTCCCTCCTCCGCATCCTTGAGTCGATTCCGGTGCCACCACACCGCCGGCCTGCTGACGAAGTGCTTGCGGAGCCTGGAGAAGAGCCAGACGACGAAGAGGATGCAGACGGCCAGGACGATGACGAAGCCGAGGAGGGGGAAGCAGCGCATGCTCACTGCCGCGTTGATCAGCATCCCTGTACTCGTGCTCAGGCCTGTGGCAAGGAAAGCGAGGACAGGGAGCTCCCACTTGGGGAACCGAAGCGCCATGGAGACAGGAATCTCCTCCTCCTCCTCCTCCTCCTCCTCCTTCTCGTTCGCATTTTGGCCCTCCTCCGCCCCTCCTTCCGCAGCCAGCTTCGGATCTTGGCAGTTCTCCGTTTCCTTCTCGTCCCCTCCTCCAGCCGCCTTGTCAGCGTCTGCTCTCTCCTTCCCTTGTTTGCTCTTACCCGATAGCCTCCAACTCAGCCCGAAGCTTCTGCCCGACACTCGAGCCGTGAGCTTCTCATCAATCACAGTCATGCTTGTCTGCTCGTCCTGATTTAGCATCATTTTTGCCGCCTCCGCCTCCGCCTCCTCCTCCTCTTCCCGCATCTTCTTCTGCCTCGCCTTCTGCCGCCTCCTCTTCCAGCGGATAATGGAAACCCTGAGAGAGGCGGCCAACACTCTAGAGCAGCAGACAAGGAGGAGGAGGACGATGCTGGTAGTGCAGGTCCCAAGGAAAAGTCTGAAAGTGTCTTCGAGGGCCACCTGCTCTGATGAGATCGTTGAGTTGGTGTCTAGCTGGGCTGACGTGTTTTGATATGCCTGACAGAACCCCGTGAAGATAATCCCTGAGGACCATATGTCACATGTGCAAGTAGAAGATGGCGACGAGGGTAAGAGAGGAAAGAAGAGGAAGAGAAGAGGAAAGAAGAGGAAGAGAAGACGTTGGGGAGGTAGGAAGATGAGGACGAGGACGAGGACGAGGACGAGGACGAGTATGAGGAGGAGGATTTCGATGATGATGATAATGATGATGATGAGAGGAGGTAAGGATAAGGTAAGGAAGAGGCCAGGGGGTGCAGGCTCATTCCGCAAGGCAATCAACTCCCTTCCTCCTTCACCTTGGGGCCACTCGTATCCGATCCACCCAGCCACCTGCTTGGGATCAAGTTGGCCGTTCATGGGGCGGAAGCTCGAAGCCCAGTCGAGGTATTGCTGAGGCACTTCCGTGGCCAAGAGGCTGGTGATGGAGACGAATTGAATATGAAGCAAGAAAGACCAGTGGTCCCCCGTTACCACCATCTGCCCCCATCGTCATCTTCCTCTTCCCTCTCCTCCTCCTCCTCCTCCTCCCTCTCCAGTCCTACAACTGCACTTCCTTCCTCTCTCCCATCTGATACATCTTCTTTCTCACGCCTCCGTCCTCTTTTACCTCGATGTTGTACATCCCTGTGATCACAAACCAGGCAAGTGCGTGCGCGGTGACGGAGGCGAGGAGGATGGCAAGGGCAAGGAGGAACGTCACGGAGGAGATCTCGTTGATCACTTGCCTTGAGAAGGAGGCGCGCATGTCGCACAGCTCCCCAGAGAAGCCAGCGGAGCACACGCATCCTCCTCCTACGCACTCCCCTCGCCCGCTGCACGGCAGCGAGTTGTACGCGCTCGGCCTGTCTGTCGAGTCACGAGGAACGGCTGAGGGGTGTGGTGGGGAGCAGGCCAGCAGCAGGGAGGGGCGGCAGAGATGTAAGGGGGCAAAGGAGGAGGAGGAGGAGGAGGAGGAGGAGGAGGAGGAGGAGGGCGTCGGTGGGGGGGTGGGCGACATGGGCGCCTCCTTCTGGAGGGAGGGTGATGGTCGAGGTCTTCGCCGTGGCGGTGGTCGTTGTTGTTGTCATCCTCGTCGCCGCCGTCGCCGAGGACGACCTTGCGTGGAGGGTAGGGGAGGAGACGATGAGTAAGTGCTGGGGAGCAGAAGAGGGTAGGAGAGGAGAAAGGGAGGAGGGGAGGGGA